AGGAACACCGGGAGCAAAGCCGGGGAGGCGGAGGGGCGCTGGCGGTTGGCCTCTTAAGGGGGGGGTAATCTTATACGGCGAGTATAAGACGAAAACCTATCTTTTAACTAGAAAATTAGGGGGTCGTCTTATACGCCGGAAAAATACGGTAAGTACTAATTTCTAGCTTTAGAAGTTTGACAGCTTGACTATGAAAATATTAATTTTGTTAATTAAAATGCAGTAGGGAGAAGAATTAATTAAAAGGCAGAAATTTTAAAATCTTATCTCATCAGACACAAATGAAAAAAGAATATTATATACTAGTGGAAAGCAGCAATTGCTATATAACATATCCTTTTCAAGTCCTGGTGGTTTAGAAAGTATTAACACTTCAAAAGAGTCACTAGTCCCTTGTCCCCGAAGTAGTGGTGGTATTTTTAACATTGATCTGGGACTAAGCACACCAAGTCTCAGACGTCATGCTAAATGTCATTTGAAATCACTGCAAGGAATTTCTGGATCAAAATACAAGTGTCTTAGTGCAATTCTCAAAAACACCTCTTCTCACTTCCAATCTGTCAGCATTTGCAGATGATATGAGATTAACTAAATTCAGGGTAAAGACTAAGAATGTGCATCATCTCAGGTTTCTTCTGACAATCACATATAACACTGAAAGTCTGACAAATGCCAATGTTTCTACAAACACAAGAAAATAAAATAAGCTGATATCTATGAAAACATAACTATGAGATTATTCTCTAATTCAACTTTTTTTTAGCTGTCCAACTGTAACCATGCACGGAGAACTTTCATCTGGACTGTATATTTAACAAATCAGGAAAATGAAAATAGACATGTATTCAGAAGGCATCTGCAAGGGCTACTTGTTTCACTTCATAATATTCTCCACAGGGAAGGTTATGTACAATATAGTTAGAAGGTTTCTCTAGTAAGTAGTAATACTATAAAACAAAAACAAACCCAGAATATTTCTACCTGGATTGATGGACATAACCAGTCAATTTCTGATATGGTGGGGCACTATACAATTTTCTGTGCTATGTTCAAATGCTTGGATTTAATCTTTTAAAAAATTCCCCCAAAATAAATGAGAGCTATCACCAGAGTATGAAGTCAAATATTTACCTCTAGCATTCGTGGTATCCATCCTTTTCGATAACCATAAGGGGGAGGTTCCCTGCGCGATGATACCAGTGCAGTCTGTCTTGATCTCTGAGATCTTGCTCTTTCTTCTAATTCTAGCTGGTCCTGAGACAGCTGAGTTGGGGCTGGTAAAAAACTGAACAGACAATAAGAGAAGGATATTAACTTTGAGACAGTCTCACCCACTCAACACAAATGAGATCAAGTGCAATATTTCATTCTTTGATTAGAGTATTCCAAGGAACTGTTCATCTTTGCCACAAATCTGTGTTGAATCAGAAACAATTTATAACACTTAATTGAGTGCAGGACTTTTAACTGGGCCACAGCTGTCTCTGAGTTGAAATGTTGAAGGCAGCTTCACTCTTCTCTTTCTCCTTTCTTTATCCCCCAGTCCCAGTGCAGTGCATATTTCCCACCCCTGATTGAACAGAAGGAGCCACCTCTGTTTTTTCTTTAGCAACAGAGCTGTAGGAATCTTACAAAACATAACCGCATTCTACATAAGTATCTTTTCTATCATTCTGTCAAAGTGAAAAAGAAAATATCCTCCAGTTCTTAATGACTCCTCACATAAATGCCCACAGACACAGTGATACAACTCATTCTGACCAAGGTTTGGTACCCAAGCAATACAAGATGTTCCTTTCTCTGGGGATGAATACACATTCTCCAGAACATCTCTTGTCCCCATTGGTCAAGAACAAAGGACTGAGCTAAAATCTTAACTTCCCACTTTTTAGTTTGCTCTGCACTCCCATTTCAGAACCAGGCTGCCCCCTTTGCATTTCCTTAAGGAAACGTTTGGCTGCCAAAAGGTTTATATATTGGAGTACACACAAAAAGACGTGTCCCTTAACCTAAACAGAGAATGACACTGACCTCTCAACTTCTCTCAGTAGACTGCCTTAGGACGTAGACAGAGCTGTACACACAATAGGACCTAACAACAGAGTCCACAGGTGTCTGCCCAAGCCCAACACATATGTGTAAACCCCATGCATAAGCATGCCCTGGACGCCGCTGTATCAGACCCCAGGCTCCCTATGCGCCGGTGACCACGGAGGAGTGGCTGTGTAGCACCTCGGAGAAGGAATCACTGGGGATCCGCTACCCCCACACGGGGTGTGCGGAGGGGGCATTAACCCTGTCAGCGGCAAACAACTCGCTGCGATTCTGGAGGGAGGTTCCTGTCCGTAACTAGCTCCCTCCCCAGACCCCTAGCACGGGCCCGTGGCATAGGCCCGGGGTGGCCGCCGAGCCCCCGACCCTGGGTGCACACGGTCTCCTCCAGGGCCGCCCTTGGCGCAGGCAGCTCCTACCCTCCCCCAGCCCAGTGCAGGCCGGTGGGAAGTGTCCGGTCCCCACGCCCCGGCCTGTCTCTACGGGCCTGGCCCCCTGGGGGATAAGTCCGCGGCTGGGAGCTGGGGAAAGGCCCCGGCTCGGAGAGGCCTACACGGCGCCAGCCTGGCTTGTCCCTTGGCAGGGCCAACAGCCCCCTCGCACCCGGAAGAGGCTCTTCGGGCCCCGAAGAGCGCGGGGTACAAGGGACGTTGGAATAGGACCAGGACGGAACCACTGCGGCCCTGAGCCCCACCAACCTGGTGAGCGCCATCTTCCTCGTCTCGCTCGGGGACCCTAGCCGCACGAAGGGGATAGCAAACGCGCAGGCGCAGATATCAAAAGCATGCTGGGAGTTGTAGTCTTTCAGCTTTCCTCAGCGCGAAGACCATACGCTACACTCCGCAGAGCTATTGCCGAAACATCTTCTGGGACTTGTAGTCTTCGTTCACAAGCCTACCCTAGACTGGAGGAGGCATACACGTTTCTAAAGCACATGCGCAAGAGATAGGCATTGTGCGAGTTGTAATCTCTTTAAGACCGTGGTGTCTTTGCTCGGCTGGGCTAGCACCGATCTAAGGTTGCCAGACGGTTTCAACAAAAATAGTGGAGACACTTGACATCACATCACAATCTACATTACATCTTATTTAGAAAATACTGGACATTTATGTTTTCTCATTTATATTTTCTCAATTTGTTTCCCAAACAGAAAGCTCAAATACTAGACTGTCCTGTTCAAAACCGGACACATGGCAACCCTACAATCTGTTCCAAAGGTGTCTGACTGTAGGCCCAGGGCTATTAGAGTTTGAGGGGGCCTTGGATATGAGTCTTTTTTCCAGATTAAAACAAATGACAATTATGGTACTGAGACTATTAATACTATACTTGCCTTTTGATTAACAAAGTGAATCTGTGTGTGAGGGTTGGCCCAGGTCACAAAGATCCCCTAGAGGTTGCCCCCTGATGGGCTGATCATATCATTATCTGCCCTCTGGGGTGCACCCAACACTCTATCTTGCTGAGCCAGGCTCTCTGGTCTTCCCCAGCAAAGGTACAGAGTTGGGGTCACAGCCCACAGAAGAGCAACACAAACACTGAGAGTCTCTCAGCCTTGGAAAGGCTCAGTCACAGGGACTTGACACAGATCCCAGGTGCATGGCCCCAATGGGACTAACACCCAAAATAAATCCATCTCACTATGCATAAAGTTTATGTAGCGTGAACTCATAAGATGTGTGCCCCCTTTTTCAATAAGAGATGCACAGCTGTTGTTACTCCTAGGTAACAGTTATTTACACAGGGTTTAATAATAAAAGAGATTTTTATTAAATATAAATAGCAACATTTAAGTGATTGCAAGTGATGATAGCCAGATCAAAGTAGTTACTAAGCTAAATAAAACATAACATGCCAGCTAAGCATCATACAAAATGCAAAATGAAACATGCAAAAATGAGACTATTCACAGAGTATTGTCTTGAACACTGGGCCATTAAGTTCCTTAGTACTATTAATGTCTTTCACTAGCACACCTAGATCAATAAACTGGTGTATACTTCATATTATAATTTCAAATATAGGCCTGATGCATGCACACAAATAGAATATACATACTCAAGGGATTACAAGCTTTCCAGTGATATGTTACAGGCTCCATTTTGCATAAAGCTTATTAATTTTCAAAACCACATTTTAATAAAAATATGGGGATGCAACATCATATTGTTGTTACATTTCAGTCATTAAACATATAGACTATAGTTAATTCAAAATATCCTACTTTTTACCTGAGAACAGCTGTTATATAAGATTCTTTTTGGGAGGGAGGGAAGTTGGGTACAGTAGGGGGATCCAGGCTGGAGCAGAGTGTTGGAGTGCTGGAGAGGGTGAGGGGTTTAGGCATCCCTGGGAGGGCATTTGGTGCAGGAGGGGATTCTGACCTGAGGCAGAGGGTTTGGGATGCAGGAGGGTATGTGAAATGCAAGCTCTGGCTAGGAAGTGTTTACCACAGGCAGCTCTTGCTTGGTAGTGCAGGCAGGTCTCAGGCAGCCTGCCTGCAGGCCGTAGCCCCACACCACTCCTGGAAGCGGTAGATGGCTGGCACATCCCTGTGCACGTCTGCGGGGAGGAGGGCAGTGTGTCTCCATGTACTACTGCCTGTGCCCACAAACACCACCCCTACAGCTCCGATTGGCAGTTCCTGATGAATGGCAGTTGCAGGGATGGTGCTGAAGGGGGCAATGCACAGAGCCACCTACACACATACCCCCCACCATGGTCTGCAGAGACGTGCCAGCTGCTTCCAGGAGTGGAATGGGACAATGGTATGTAGGCAACCTGCCTGAGCCTTTTGCTGTACTACTGGACTTTTAGCAGCCCAGAGATTGTGTTTCACTGTCAGAGGCTTCAGGATCAACTAGATGATGGCAGTTGATAGGTTGGTGACCACTAAATATACTTACGGATTTTTTTTTTTTGCAGGGCTCCAATAGCCCAGGGCTGCAGCACCTAAAGCCCCTGCATTATTCTGGCGCTGAGTCTGAATGCTGACTAGGGAATTGATCTTTACCCTTTCACACTTTTGCCCATGCTGAAGCAAGAATGGGAATTGCTGTTTTTATGCTAGCAAGCCCAGTGCAAACACACCCACATAGCACAGTTGTAGGGTTTTGGGCTGGGATCTATGATCTCATTGGACATATGCCAGAGATTTCTTCCATGCTTGGGCATGAAGCTGCATGGCCATACTCAGTCACCACATGGTAACCTTGTGTTAAGATGCAGTGCATTATGTTGCACTCTGATGACACAATATTGGTGTCATGATGTGATATTGTTAAATTGTGATTAACCATTACAATATAAAAAATAGTCAGTATGAAATGATGAAGGAAAACTGTAGTCCCTGAACCCATCCTCGGAGATTTCTGCTATCTCTCAGCTGCTGCTGCCAGGAGAATGTCACATATGAAACAAAATCTGGATAATCCCAGGAAAATTGCTTATGGTGGCAATTCTGAATGAAGGGAGTGCAATGGAATATTTGCATCTTTTCAGACATCCCTTCCACAAAGATGTCTGCTGAGCCCAGCAAGTTTACTCTCTAATTATCAGCAGGATAAATTGTTCTATGGACAGACAGAAAGATATAATAGAAGTGTGATTGCAATGAAAGTTCTACTAATTTTGGTATGTAGTATCTAGGAACCATGAGTTGGTGCATTAGAAATATGTAGCTTGATTAGGATAATAATGAAAAGTGCCGTAAAGTGGTAAATATTATAATAATTATTATGAATCTCTGTCACAATTAAAATGTCCTTAGCTAGATTTAAAGAGAGTAACTCATATATTACATTAAGTGTAAGCTATTCAGCTGTATTAGTGGGGTGAGCATTTGTTCCAATACCACCAAAGTGAGGGTTTTACATAAGAACATAACATAAGAATGGCCATAATGGGTCAGACCAAAGGTCCATCTAGCCCAAAGAAAACATTATTGGGGAAAAATGACCAGTGAATTCTGTTTGCCTGTGGAATGAGGACTGGGCTAAATGGAGTGAAGCAATATGTAATATGAGTCAGTATAGAAGAATCTGATATTATATAAAATTAAAGTAAGAAATGTAATGTATTAATTGCTATTAATTAAGTGCTTAGGGATCAACAGATAACTGTACAGAGTAGTAGTCCTGTCCTGAAGAGCTTACAATGTAGTAGACCAGTGGTTCCCAACCTTTTCGAGCACACAGACCCCTTTTCAATCTGTTAAAATTTTACTGACACCCACACCCCAAAGGGAGCGGCAGGAAGCGGCAGCTAGCATATACCTTGGCCCACACTGTTTCCTCAGCTCCTGTCCCCTGCCCATCCATGGAGGATATGGCGAGGGAGCTCTTGTGGCCAAAGGCAGCTCCTGCCCTAGCACTCTGCCCTTGGCCAGGAATGGAGACCTGGGGGAGGAAAAAAAAGAAAAGGAAAAGAAAAGGAAGGATTGGGCCCACTGTGGGACTGGGAGCAGGGAAGTCTGGAGTGTAAACAGCAGCTCAGCTGGCGGCAGGAGGACGGATGGTGCTTCCTGTGGTATCAAGATCCCACCTTGAGGGTGGGAGGCAGCATGCATACAGCCTGTTGCAAACTGTGAACCCTGGGCAAGAATTGCCTGATGGAAAGTCCCAGTCCCATGGTAGGCCCAATCTTTACTTTTCTTTTCCTTTCCTAAACTTTCTGCGGACCCTCTACAGTACCATTGTGGACCACCAGGGATCCGTGGACCACAGGTTGGGAACCACTGTAGTAGACACAAGAGACACAGAAAAGGGGAAAGGGATCAAAATCACCAGACATTAACAAATGTAGGATTCTTCCCACTGCTCCTGTGACAGGTGATTTACAATTGCTGATTAGATGACAAAAGGATTAGACCAGTGTGAGAGAACTGGGACCATAACTGACCTACTAAAATTCCAATGGGTCATACATTTGGTATCTGGGGAGAAGGATAGTGCAGTCCTAATGTCCTCACTCTGACAAAACTCCTGTTGACTTCAGTGGGAGCTTTGCCTCAGGCTTGAGCTCTCTTAGCAGAATTACAGTGCACCAGATACATGCATATGACAGGTGCTCTCTCCTTCTCCACTTTGGGCACATCAGTCAAAGATAATTAAACTTTTATGCACATAGTTATCAAGAATTAACTGCACATCATCTTCCCAGACCTCATCTGTGTCTTCTCCCTTCCCCTCTTCCTTCAATCCTTTAGCAACAAGCAAGAGTCCCATCACACAATATTAAATATTCAGGTTGAAGAACTTTTCTCTCTTAAACTCCCATCATTTGAAACAGGCAGCTTGTGCCTCCCCAGCCCATCATAACTCAGGAAAAAAATATTTTTTCTTCCTTGCTTCTGGCTGTCAACCTCTCTCTCTGCTTGCTCTATTTAGTGATGTGTGGTAGGGATATGATGCAACTTTGTCAAGTGTTTTATAGTGTATAAGAAAGTCGATGCTAAAAATTGTTCTCAAGAGACCAGCATGTAAAATTGTACCTGAGCAGTCTGCCTCTACTTGAACACTTGGGAAATACTTCAGTGGGTTTTCTTGCTCTCCTTGTTTATTCCTTTTGCAACTGAGGTCTTGTCTATGCTAAACAATTAGGTCTACGCCATGACATAGTTAAGCCAATCTAATTCCCAGTGTAGACAGTAATAGGTTGATAGAAAAACCTCTTCTGATGAACTAGCTACCAACTTTCAGGAGGTGGATTACATACACCAGGGAGGGGAACCTATGGCTTGTTGGACAGATCCAGCCTGCGAGGCTCAGAGCTCACCCTTCTCCTTCCCCCCGCCCCACCCCTGCAGCAGTGCGAGCTGGCTCCCCATTGTGGAGAGGGAGCTCCA